CCCAGGGGGGGTGGAGGGGGTAAGCGGTTGGCCCGTTTTAGCGCCGCCCCGTGGGCGGGTGACCGCGAACCCCGTCCAAAGGGGGCCGTGGCCACTGAAGGTTAGGCGCCCCGTCGACGCTCCATCGCCTCCCGGATTACCGAGGTCGTGCAGACGCGCCCTGACGCTCCGCTCTCTGCCCCGCAGGTGTGCAGCAGACGTCGGACGCCGCCCGGCAGCTGGAGGAGCAGGTGCGGCGCCAGGTGGAGGAGCAGGTGCGCGCCACGGGCAGCGGCAGCGCCAGCGGCCAGTGGTCCGTCACCAAGCACTCGGAGTACTCGGGCGGCGGCAGCGTGCCCGTGCGCGCCACCATCACCGGCGAGGCCCTGGAGGGCGGCGACGGCCTCATGGGCATCACCACCAACTGCCACAACTGCAGGCTGCGCATCCGCAAGGTCGGCGGCGGCAGCAGCAGCGGCGCCGGGGTCAGCGAGCAGGCGGGTGGCGCGGGCGGCGTGCAGGTGGAGTCCAGCCAGTCGCGGTACTACAGCAGCCGGTCGGAGGGCGGCCAGGGCGGCCAGAGCTACGGCAGCGCCCACCCCGTTGACCTCTCGGGCGGACTCTCGGGCGGTAGGCTCGTGCAGTCCTCTCAGCAGCAGCAGTACAGCGCCGGCGGCTACGGCTCGTCCCCCGGATCGTACGGCAGGGTCGGCGCCGTGGACGCGGATGGACTCTCGTCCTCCAGGAGAGACACCAAGGTCACCAAGTCCTCATGGCAGCTGGCGGACCTGGGCTACGGCACGAGCAACATCGAGGACCTGATCCGACGCCTGGACGAAGACATGCGCGCCGGCCGCTACCAGAACGGCAAGACCGTCACCACCGTGACGACCACCACGTCCGAGAACGGCAGCCCGCCCGTCACGCGCCAGGAGACGTACGTCAAGGACGGCCTCGACATGTCCCAGTCCCAGGTCGGCAGCCTCGACATGTCCCAGTCCCAGGTCGGCAGCCTCGGCCACGGCTTCGCGAAGGGCGGCACCACCTCTATTGTCAGTCACTCCGAGATCGAAGACCTTCTCCGGGGACTCCGCGAGGAGCTGCGAACTGGAAAGACCGAGGCCGGCAAGACAGTCACCACGGTTGTTGAGAGTTCCTCGGTCAACGGCGCCGCTCCCGTCGTCACCAAGAAGACGTACGTACGCGACGGCTACGACGCATCCGCGCTAGAACTAGGCGCAGCAGGCCTGGATGCGGGCTTTGGCCAGTCAGGCGTGTCGGGCAACTCGGGCTCGCACAGCTTGTCCAGGACCACGCAAAGCGTGTGGTCGTCTGGCGGAGTACGGCCCCTAGGCGTCGACCACCTGGGGGGTGGCAACCTGCTCACTAACTCGCACCACCTGGCGAGGAACTCGACGACCGTGTCGACTTACGGCAGCGGCTCCGGAGGCCACGACGTGCGCACCGTGGACGCCCTCGGCGGCGGCCACCTCATCCGAGAGTCGGGCGGCTATGGTGCGACCTCCGGCTCCGAGGTCAAGGGCACCCGGCGCGTGGATGCGCTGGGCGGCGGCCACCTGCTCCGAGAGACGGGCGGCGGCTACGGCGCTACCGGCTCTTACGGCTCCGAGACCAGCTCCTCCTACAAGGAGACCCGTCGCGTGGACGCGCTCGGCGGTGGTCACCTCATCCGCGACACCGAGGGCTCCGACCTGAAGGGGACGCGACGCGTGGACGCGCTCGGTGGCGGTCACCTCATCCGCGGCACGGACAGCGCGCAACAGGGCGCATCCTACTCGGGATACTCCGGCAGCGCCAGCAGCTCCCGCTTTGAGGGTCAGGCGGCTCTGCAGCCCCGACCGACCACCGACACCCTGAGCGTATCGCAGATGCCCGGCTACAGGAAGGACGCTCCCCTCGACACCGACCTGCCGGCGTACGGCAGCAACAGCAAGTACTACTCTACCTTCCAGACGAGCAGCTACACGTCCGGAGCTGGAGGCGTGGGCGGCGCCGGCGTCGTGGACAGTAGCCTGGCCGGGTCACAGACGGCCCTCGGCGGACTGGACAGTTCGCTGTCCGGCTCCTCGGACGGCGACACCAGGACGTCGTCGAGCTCCTCATACAAAAAGGTGGTCAAGTACAGCAGCTCTGGCAGCACCGGCGTAGAGCTGGAACGCGATCTGGACCACCTCGGCGGTGGACATCTCATCCGCGGCGTTCCCTCCACCGGGGACGGGCAGCGCACCCAGGACGTGGGCGGCAACCAGGCCTTCATCGCCTCTGAGAGCGGGCGCATCCCCGAGGCGGGCTCGGGCAGCTACTTCTCATCCGGCTCCTCCTCGTACCAGAGAGCGTCGTCGGGCAGCTCCGGCATCAACGGCGTGAACCCCGGCGCGCCCACCGGCGCCGTGGTCGTCCCCGTGCGCGGGCCCGCCGCCTCGTCGTCCGTGATCTCGGTACACGGCAGCAGGTCCGAGTGGGCCGAGGCCCAGGAGACCAACGACGACGAGTTCCCGGCGTTGGGCCCCGCCGCGCCCACGTCGCCCGGCATCGTGATCGGCTACGGCTCCGGTAACGGCGGCTACGGCGGCGGCACCGCGGCCCGGCCGGCCGTCGCCTCCGGTGACAGCTCCGTCCAGCGTGGCGGAAAGCTTTCCGTGTCTCTCGCTGACATCGGCATCCTGCCGTCGGACGGCTCCACTCAGCAGGCCAGCTCCGGTTACAGCAGCAGCGGTAGCACTAGGTACTCGTCCAGTGCGATTGCCAGTGAGACTGAATACGGGGCCACCGGCGGCAGTGGATACGGTACCTCCGGCAGTGGATACGGAGCCTCTGGTAGCGGATACGGCGCCTCTGGCACTGGATACGGCGCCTCTGGCACTGGATACGGCGCCTCCGGCAGCGGCGGCTACGGCGCTAGGTCCTCGTCGACCTACAGCAGCAGCAGGCACTACGAGGTGCCGGTCGCCTCACACGGCACGTCCTGGAGCTCGCAGTCGTCGTACTCCTCTGGCATGCCCAGCAGGGCGTCGTCATCGTACGGAAGTCTTAGTCAGGGGTCCAGGGGTCAGAGGATGACTCAAACACACACCGGCCCAGACTGTGACGGCACAGTCAAGATCTAGACGCAGCCAGTGAACCCTACATCCTCAAAGACTGATTTGAATATATGCTGGAGCTAGTCGCCATTCTCCACCTTCCCGAACCCGGATTATCGTTTCATACATGTCATGTAATCGTTTCACAATAAAGTCATTGATTTATCAAAATGTCTTGTAGTTTTTCTTTGTCGTTTTTTTCTGGATTTGTTAGAAGCCGCAGCAAAGAGTTTCTGGGCAAACGTCAGTGTCAGGTAAAGTTAAGACATTCCCATACCACTACGCACTTTCCCCTCAACCCTAATTTACTGTAACCTCAAATATTGACCTCGTTTTAGATCTCTGTTATTAGTTTCAGCCCGTGAGGCAATCGCCTCGCTCTCCGTGGGGACGGGGGGGCCAATGTTTGAGATGAAGTAGTGCTCCCTGCTGAGCGCGGTCTTGACGTCTCCCCCAACAGGCGGGGTGGGACTCGAAACAAGCCCGGCGGCAAGCCAGGCGCGGGGAAAATATCATCACAAAGAAATAACTTTCTATATATTTCAGTAATTTCATTCACGGAGATATATGTTACACAGGTTCGGGCCCGGACGTTGTTTACTACTTTGAAGAAGACTATCCACAAGGAGGTAAAAACCACACGTCCTCAATATTTTTTGACTGTTTCCTTTTTACCGGTGATTTGGCTCTTTCGCTTTGTGTACAAACGCTGGGTTGACTATGCTGTTTGATGCGCTCCGCAGTCACGTGGTGATGGCCCCCTTCATCTCAGTGCGACAAGCGCTGTACGGAAACAAAAGTTTTGTCACCTTTCTTTTATTTTTCGTACTCACTGGGGAACTTTGATGTCAGGGTATTCTGAAATACCGGCGTGACCCTGCTCCCCGCATTATTGTACAGAGCTTGTGACTTATTGTGATCATGTATAGCAAGTTGGGCATGCGGCGGGTAGAGTGCGCCAATAAGCGCGAGGCGAGGGGGCTGCAGAGCGACGCAGATCGAGTCAGGGCGAAGCAGAGCGGAGCATAAGCGAGGCAGAGCCGCACCGAGCGGGGCACAGCGCAGCGGGGCGGTGCGCGGCGAGTTTGCAAAAGAACCTTTCGGAGGCTGATGAAAGAGGACATTGGATCACCGCTGCCGCAACGCGCCTTGATTAACGGGCCGTTTTTATTTTACTTCCAGGGAATTATTGAGGCGCTTTTGTACAAAGCCGTAAACGCTTTGCGAAATAACAAAAGAGAGAGCGAATAACATGTACTGTTGCACATCGTTATTGAGTACAGCAAATATGTGAACGTTGCACTGACCCAAACGATGCCTTCTCTGAACGCGTGTTGCAGGCGGCGGCCACCTCCTCAGGGACACCTGGGGGATGGAGCAGCTGCAACAGCTGCCGCAGCTGCAGCGCATCGCCCCGCAGCCGCCTTGTCGGCAGCGCCGCGGGCTCGACTCGCTGTCCGGCGTCACCTTCGGGGGCGCCAAGAAGCGCTTCAACTCTCTAAAGTAAGTCCACAAATATTTTAAAATGTTTGATTAATAATTCGTCATTTAGCAGCGTTTGGACTGGTCCGTTCAACAGCATTTTAGTTTCCCCATCGCGAAAGACAAGCCAATCTGTTTCGCAGCCCGGAAAGACTATCCTCTCTGCTCCTTTGACGCTCTCTGCAGCGCTGCCTTCTTTCAGTTGCGAGATTGCTAATATTGGCAGTAGATGAAAAGTAAAAATTTGCTCTGTGTTCGTAAAAGATGAAGGAAACACATTGCAATTATTCTTTTCCGCGCAAAGAACAGATGGGCGGCCCCCTCTCAAGGGGGAATCTTTAAGGAAATTCCACGCGTCCTTTGCAAGTGTCCCGCGCAGGTGTATTCTATTGCGTCGCCTTTGATCCCGCGACCCATTAGGGTGCAGCGTCGCGTGGCTCGAGCGCGCTGGAGAGAGGAGACGCGAGGGGCGGGTGCGCTTTGACGAGTAGTGTAGCGCAGGCGCCGCCCCCCGAGGGCCCCGAGGGTCCCACCCGTTTCCGAGATTTTCTCCTCCCTCACATTAAGTCCGGAAGCGGGGCTCCGCACCTGCGGGGCCTGCGCGGGGCCGGGGTACCCGCTTGAGGTACCCGTGCCCACGGCGGGGAGAGGGTGGGGTATGGCAGTGGCGGCGCCAGGCTGATTGCTGGGGCGTGATAACCTAGATCTGGGCCTAGCTAACTAGCGCTCTGTGAGAGGGCGGGCGAGAGGGTGGGCTCCTCCACAGAGGCGTCCGACCGGCTATCTCAGCAGTCAGACTCAAGCAGCCAACACGCAGGCGGCATGCTGAGTGCTGCGCGGGGACGGGAAGGGGGGGGGGGAGAGATACATGCCCCCGTCCAGAGGAGTATACTTACTGCACCACCGCTCATCCAGGAAGGTGGGCACCTCTGGCGTGGCACCCTCTAAATTAACGACGACTCTGTTCACAGCGGCGGCACATTCGGCACCAACAAGCGCAACTTCGACGAGATCGACCGCACCTCCTTCAACAGCTTCACCAAGAAGAACTTTGACGAGATCGACCGGGCGGGCTTCGACAGCTTCGTGAAGCGCAACCCCGTGGCCGAGCTGGAGGACCTGGAGCGGCCCCTGTACGGCCTGAGCCTGAGCCAGGGCCTGGCGCGCCTGCACCACCTCCAGGAGCAGGAGCAGCCGTGAAGCACTCACGACCGGGACATCCTTCGTAATGTTTTTCTTTCTTCCTCATTTCTCTCTCTCCTCCTATCTCCTCACCGTCGGGGTGGACAGCCTTTCCGTTTCGTTGCCGCCGTTGAAGCCACGCGCCGGGGGGTATTGCCGCGACGGCCGTTAACACATGCTTGAATATTTCATCCTCATCTCGCTTGACGAGGCCCGGCGCACGGAGTTAGTGGTGCCGGGGCCTAAACTACCAACGCCTCGGGGGCGCCATCTACCGGCGACTCGACGAACCTCCGCGCTGCGGCAGCGTTCACCAGCGGCTGCGGGGTGGGCGCCGAGGGGGGCTCCAGTGGGTCCGGACGCCCCCGTCGGCCCCGCCGCGCAGTGTCGGCCTCGCGGGGTATTGACGAGTTTTGGCATTCCATTCATAATTATTTAGTTTCGGTGGGAGGGTACATGGGTATTTTAAAGCATCGCCTTTCTGTCTTCTGTCGAGGGGCCGTCCACCCCGATGGTGTTTGAGCTGGGGGCGGGGGTAGGCGCGGCAAGTCTGGCTGGAGAGAGCACCCCCGCCCGCCATAGAGTTATACTATCAGTATTAATATGTATTAAATGATTCCTTTTTTCATCTGTAAGCCTTTTTACTTTGATGCGTGCGTCCCTTGTTTTGTTTTTACTAGTTTTTATTTCGGGTCCACTCACGAAGCTTTTTGTTAAGTATTCCTTTTTTATTAACAAATATAGAATATTGTAAAAAAAACAAACTAGTGTCGTAAATGTTGTAAAAAAAATGCTGGACATCATAGAAGCACAATTATAATATAATTAATTTACGTCCCTTTGCCTTATTCTGCAAAGTTCAAATTGCATCACAGTTTACTATGTTCAGAAATCAACTTTTCTCTTGCACGGCACAGCGGTATTCTCACAGTAGCCTCAGTATCGTGTATTTTATTTTTATATTCGTTTTGAGGTGTGCGGCACTTTCATTTCATTTAGACTATAGCTCATTTTTCGGGATAGGTTTTCTGTACATCCTTGATGTGACGGAGGTGTTAAAATTAACTAGCAAAATGAATGTAAAACGTTGTTGTAATTTGTGATAGTTTGTAGTCGAGTCACACCGCATTGGGGCGCACGGTGGCATCGATGGGTCGAGTCCAGCCATGAGCTGGCCCTATCTCCTCCCGTCTCTCTTTTTTCACCGATGGGCTTTGAAATGTATATTATCCTGTGAGATTGGGCGACCGACACAGGTCGTTCCTTCGCCTTTGCCCCGTACCCCCGATTTTTGTTTTTTGTAAAAACTGTGCCCCGCTGGCGGCGAACCGATCGCCTTTAGCTGGCGGTGTGTCTGTGTGTTTGTGTAATTATTCCTGTCTGCAAAGCGAAATACAAAAGAAAGTGCCTCTGTGAGCGTGTGTCTGTTTTTCATTAATACGCCGTGTTGTGTTTATTTTTTTTCCTCCCTGAACAAAAAATAAAAAAGGTGCCACGTCCTACAAATAAAGGTGAGCGAACGCGAAGAAAAGCAGACGCCCATGCGTTGAGGGGGTCGCAGCCGCAGCAAAGGTCTGTCTGGGACCATCGCCTGGACGGGGCGGGGGCGGGCCAGCAACAGGACTTCTCGTGTAATGGTAAGTGTTCCACACGGCGCTGACAAATGGCCCCATCCTGCCGCCCCCGATGGGGGTGGCGGGCGCTACGATGATGGAGGGCGAGAGACGCGGCCGGGCAGCAGTGTGACGGCAACCCCCTACAGGCCAGCCGGGAAGGGCCGGAGAGCCGGGTCCAACCAACAGAGCGCCCGGCTGCCTAAGTGCTTATTTTGTCGCGCTTGCGGGAGAGAGAGAGAGCGAGGGAGAGAGGGAGAGAGGGAGTGAGAGAGAGAGAGAGAGAGAGAGAGAGAGAGAGAGAGAGAGCAATCCCATCGCTCCGCGCTCAACAACGCAAGCCACGGCCCGCCCCACTCATCTGTCTCAATATCGTAGAGGAGAGGGCCGCCACCAAAGACCAAAGGCGCCCCGGACGAGACCAGCTACTACACACTCCTATCAAGGCCACGCCGCGCGGGTTAGGCAGCCCAACAGGCGCCGCCGGGCCATCAGCTGACGCGGTGCCGCGCGGCCCGGGAGGTAGGCAACCCATCCGACGCCGCGGCCGCAATGCGTGACGAGGGCCCTGTGATCCGTCGCAGCCAGCGCCCCGCCCCGTCCGTCCCAGTCGCGGCCGAGCCGCAAACGTAAACCAATTTGTGGTCCAGGAGGAACCACGGACCCCGCGTCGTTGTCGGGTCGGGTCGGGCAGACACACACATTTGCCGATCTCTCGCTCAAGGAAACGGCCGTCACGCACGAAGGCCAGCCGGCTGCTTTGGTCCCGGCGGACGCGCAGCAAAACGCGCAGATGAGGGCCTGTGGCCAATATGCAGCGGGGATACTCACGCGGAACTGGAACGGAGAGGTCGGAAGCAAAAAACAAACAACGCGGAATCCGAAAAGAATATT